GGGGGGGGTGTCAAGAGGATGGGGCCAGCCTCTTCACAGTGGTGCCCAGTGACAGGACAAGAGGCAATGGGCAGAAACTGAACCACAGGAAGTTCTGTGTGAATATGAGGAAAACTACTTTCCTGTGAGGGTGACAGAGCACTGGCACAGGTTGCCCAGAGAGGTAGTGGAGTCTCCTTCGCTGGAGATATTCAAAACCCGTCCGGATGTGATCCTGGGCAATATGCTCTAGGTGACCCTGCTTGAACAGGGAGGTTGGACTAGATGATCTCCAGAGGTCCCATCCAACCTAAACGATTCTGTGAACTCCATCAGTGAATTCTAGGGTATCACTGCCATACATTCTGTCAAACACTGCTGTCACCTTGACTGGGATGTGGATTACTATTTGCATATTAATTAAGTTTGCATTCTCTGCTATCTATCATAATATCTGAGCAATCTGAAAACCTGTGCATTCAGCTCAGAATTAAATGGGAATAAACACGTGACTTAAATACCAGTAATTTCTATATGTAGCAAAAACATTATTGTACATTAATTGCAAGAACTGTAGTTAAGGATAATTTAAAAAAAATTAAGATACAGAATCTGTTTTTCTCTCAAGACTGCCATCCTTCCTTGGTAACTAATAAGTGGACCTGGTACCTTTACTGTTGTTGTGTTCTGTGTGAGCAGAAATCTCTCTGTCACACACCCTGCAGTCCTGGAATGTGAATCCTTTAAGAGAAGAAATGTCTTAATATTTACCATCTATTTGCATCCTCCATTACATTTTCAAACATTCAGTTGCTATACAAATTAACAGCCACACTAGCAGCAACAATAAATTAAAAGCATAGATTCTCTAAATGTAAATGCCCTACCTAAATGTCTAATGTATTCTGAGGTCCTCTCCATATATGAAGGATTATATCCTTCCACACTAACTGCAGTTCTTTATCATGAGCTAAAAAGACTATGTTGCTAATTACCTGACCCAGTCCTCACTAGAGATGGTCTAGCACAACACCTCATGTAACCCTACAAATCAATATGTGAGTTTTCTGAGGTATAACTCAAGCTTTCATCCTTCTGAAAGGTTACTGACCCACTGACAGTTGATGTTCCTTGCAGACTATCTTAGGCTGTGTCTATATTAGCAAGCAGTGCAACATATACTTGTATTATAACGCAAAGTGGTTGACACTGAAGACCTGGCAATTCACACTATACACATTTTGAGGGTACTTCAAACCCTGCTGTTGCCCTGTGGTGTGAGCACTGCTTATTGATTGGAGAACATCTTCTGATTTAGTTTTATCCAAAAGGAATCCAGAATGTGCATCTGAGACCACATCAAGATGCAAATTGAAGTGCAGCAGGTGGGGATGATTAGATTTGCTTCAAAAGCACAGTCCTCACCCAAATTAAACACATCCTTATAAACCGTGTCTAGAAATCATTCATCATGGAGACTGCTAGAGAAGTAATCCAGTATCAAATGAATCAATATACTTTAATGTTAAACTAGTTAAACTGAAACGTAGCAAGAATTTTTCAAAAGGGCCTTGGGGATTTTAGAGCAGTGGTCTTATTAAAAGTTAGTGCGACTCAGTAAATCTTTCAGCCACTTCACAAAATTCTCCTTCTGGGCACAGCCTGAGTCCCTTGAAGTCAGTAAGAGTTCTGACATGGACTCAGTGGGATCAGAAACAGGCCTTTTCTGTGTAATTTCTCTTTTAATTAAATGACGTTAATACAGAATTTGTTTCAGATTTGCATCCCACTAAAATATAGTATGTGCCATGTGTTCGTTAATGCTCTCCTTTACTTATAGTGTGTGCCAGGGGACACATATATTACGCAACCAAGGGACATGGAAGACAAACTGAGCAGTCAGCAAAAAGATGAGAAGACTTTTTGTGTATCAAAAACACAAGTTGAATCAATTAATTACATCAATACTGATTTTCACAGGGCTGAAACAGAATCCAGGATTGCCACAGACTGATGACAGGTCTAAATAGCATCTCATATCACAGCAGTCTTGCACAGCTAACAGTTTGCTCTTCAATTAATGTTAGACTACTTCCATGAGAATAAATTCTAGCTATGAATTACGACAAAATAAGCCTCATGGATAATCTAGTGTCTTTTTGTTAGCAGCTTTTAGATGAGATGGTGGTTTCAATGAGTCCTGGGACATTCCCAGACTAAGTGTGGGAAAGTTTAGGAGGGTCACAGAGACTGTTACTTTCCATACCCCTCTGAATTAGAAACCACCCTCATCAAACAGGCCTCACAGCTATATTACGAAATGAGAGCTGAGGTTGGAACCAGCAAAAAGAGAAAAATAAGAATCCAGAAACACTAGTTAAATAGATAGAAAATACACATTCTGCCTATTAAACTGACTTTCTTTTCACCTCAGCTCTACGAAAAATGAGGTCTCCATTTTGCATATGACCTTGTCAAGGTCAAGCAATCTTAGCAGAGGCAGAATAACTTGAAAAAGAAACACTAAAGAATATCCATTTGGCTTAAAATAAGCCAACACTCCATGTCCCACAGCCTACATATGTGTTTTGGGAAACAAATTTTGTCCTCCAGACATTTTCTCAAGTCTTTCTTAATTACTTCGCTTCAGATACCAGCTCTGTTTGGACAGAGTACAAAAACGAGGGTCACATTAGAGACCACAGAGACGACTGGAATTCATTGAACCTATATCTTGCTTCAGGATCGTCAGTGATAATAAACTCCTAAAGTGTTCCTGAAGAAAATGATACGTAGAACTCCTGTAGAATTTAAGTGTTTAAAAAAAAACCCTACAATGATGTCACTTCTCATTAGAATAATTTCTACAGAACTATATTAAATTCCTGTGATGCTTTTCGGCTTTAGGTCTACTTGATTACAGAGGTCTTGACTGCAAGTGACAAAGGAAAACAGGGAATTGTCATTCCGGGTTAGACCACACATAGAGTTTGCTTAGCATTCTGCCCCCAGTAATAGCCAACACTTGATGCTCTACAGATGAATAAGCTCTCCTTTTTCCATAGCATCCAGATAAAAGCTATTTATTAGTCAGCTGTGCAGAAATAAAGATAGGACTACAGGAAGTTTGAAAGGTTACCTATTATTTGGCTGCTTTTACCATAGCATATATGAGCACAAATGGTACTATTTGTCTTAAAAGTTGTTCAGTCCCATTTAACAACCAGAACAGTTTGGTGGAAGTTTTTTGTTCAAATAGTAGGTTCAAGTCAATTGGTTTATGTAAAATTTTTGGAGCGTTCTTTTGTTTTATTGCTCCATTGAATTTGAACCTCTGCTGTTGATTATACATGAAGAGTATGCATCTGAGAAGGTAACAAGCTAGAAGGCTTACCCACAGGTAAAGGCAGATGTTTTAATGGAAAGTATGAAAAAGAGATCATCATGTAGAGCCTTCAGCTGTTAGCATATCTGATTTTCAATGTGAACTATACACAATAAAGCGTAATATTTCAGAGATGCATTTAAAAAAAGTAAAGTAAAGTTTTATTCTTTTATTACACATACATTGACAATGAACTTGGAAATTTCTGTAGCTTCACTAGCTAGGAGGTGCTGGCAACTGTTTCTTTGAGACTATATAGTATGGAAAAGCTTTACAGGCACACAGTTCCACAAACAGATTTAATACTAGTGTTCTTCAAGACAATTAGTGGGCCTTAAGCACATTCTTAAAAGCCATCCTACAATAGGATGCTGTGTTTTCAATCATGGCCCTAGCAACAAATGCAATTTCCTCTAGTCACGGAGTTCGCTCGTCCTCACACCAGTTTCAGTTACCTTTTAATCCAACACCACTACAAATGCTAATCTTTCCACCATTCTGACATTTCCAGGCGAAGAAAAAGGAGTCACTAGTTAGAAAGCTGATGGAGCCAATATAAAATGAACAGATATTCCATTGCAAAAATAAAGTATTAAGATAGCCCCTACGCCAAACTTTTCTCTTCTGAGAATACTTTAAACACCATGCACTTAAAAATTCAGAGAAAAGCAAAATCATAGAATAGCTGGTATGTTAAAAATGCTATATGAGGGTCAAGGGCTGTGAGCCTAGACTGACAGCAATGAATAACTGTCTTGCCAATAAATTGCTATTGTGTAGTACATGGGTTTCTCTGAAAGTATCGCGATGTGAGAAATAACTGACAAAAGTCAATCTGACTCCAGTCCAAGGTATTTGCCCTATAGACCCTGTCTGCATTTTAAACGGTTTCAGTACAGAGGCAGCCACAATAATTGAAAAGGAATCTTGATGAGATAAATGACATTTAAAGCCATCAAGGGAGCAAGTAGCTGGAAAAAACCCTTTTTTTAAAATCTAACAGATTAAACAGCACAGATTAGGAAACAGTTCTCAAGCTACACAGTACACGTATCAGAGTTCAGAAAATAGGAAATGCCCAAATTATTCAGTGAGCACAGAAACCAGATTACTTTGTTACAGTAATTTATCATAACTTGTATTACCCCGAAACAGCAACATTCACATTGCAGAGGGGATTTGACTACAATTACAGGCTCTGACATTTCAACTCAATCACATATGATGGAGACTCTACCAATATCTGGACTGAATAAACGTAGCAAGAAGGTGCAGCCCATTTAACCAATGAAATCCGGAGACATTATCTTAGAAGGGCTTGCATGCATCCTAAACCAAAGATGTTGTAAAATCACAGCTATGCTTATTAACCACAGCAAAGCGAAACTCGATGTTAAGGGAAAAAAATTCAAACATAGCATGCAAAACAGGACATTTGAAAATGGATTAAAATCTATATGTAGTATATCACTCACATGCAACATATAAATATACACACAACACATTTATTATATACATATTTATATATGAATAAACATGTATAGGAACTAACCTTACAGGCATGCTCCATCACGATGCACACTGCTTTTCTGCTTTACCTGAGGACAGCACCATTCCTTGTATGCAGTGCACTTCATTTTAAAACCTGTAGGCTGTTCCTAGCAGACAGATTTAAAAGGATTTTTATGATTCACACTGCAAAAAGCTAAAAAAAATGCATCCCTGCTGCATAAGACTATATTTTCCATCTCTGTCCTCTGAATAGTGGAACCAGATGAGAAATGATTCATCAGTCCAGGGAAGCATTTAGAGGAGGGAGGAAAAAAAAAATCAACCATACAGTAAAATCTGCTCACCATGTACACACCCCCAAAGTGAAGAATCAGACCAGCCTAACTGAGGAGAAGCTAAAGATGGATTTCACAAGAAGGCTGCAGTTGCCGGGTGATGCACTGTAAACCCTGCTCCCTCCTGGGAGAATGAGCTCATTGCGAACATCCAACAGCCGCCCCTCAGCCATTGCAGTGTCACTGCAGCTAGCAGCTGAGTGCAGGCACGTCATCACAGAGGCTCACTAAAAACCGAAAACCCTCCCTTTGAGAAATCTAAGTCAAACACACCAATATAAAAACACTTCGCCTCCAATGCAGCCCAAAGTCCTTTGATATCTGGATACTGCTACAAGGGCTTGCATTTTCAGCTTTTATTCAGCCAAAGATTTGCAGCCAGCACAGTATGAATCGGAACTGAACTCCTCCTGAAGCAGGAGCTAAATTATAGAAAAGGGTAGCTAAGATTTGAAGGGTATTTGGATTTAAAAATAGCTAGCAGCCTTTGCACTTGCTCCTAGCAAAGGAGACATTCCAAGTTAAATGGAAATCCTTAGACATATGCAAGTGCAGAGCCAGGTATTAGAGATTATCTTTTATATGAGTATTATTACTGAATAATCCTCTCCTCTGCAATTATGTGGAAAAGGAAATTTGATGGCAAAGAGGCAGGTGTCTTTACAAACTCCTGTAAGGTACGATTAGAGAATTAAAGCACTGCAGATATGAAAAGCCTATCATTAACCCCTAGCTTGCTGTCTCTCACTACTTTTCAGAATTGAAAAATGAGCATTTTCAGTATTCATACTCACCATACTAAAGCTTCCCCTTTAACTCACTACTTAGTAACAGATATAGATAGAAAGAGAAGGGAATCTATTTGGTTACAAGATACTTAAAACTGCCCCGCACTCTGCAAAATTATCCAGAAGTCAGTAGGATACATTTCTTCCTGATGGTGAAGATTAGGAACCACTCAGAGCAAACTCACCGTGTAGCTGACAGGCATGATACAGTGATCTGAGTGCAGAACTGGGAAAGTGGAAACCTGTCCTAAAGCATGTTACCCATTTTCAGAAAGGTGGGTGTTTTTTTGTGGGTTTTCTTTTTTCTAAAAGACAGTATCTAAGTATCTAGAACTTTCCATGTCTGTATTTCTGATATCCTCTCTCACTGCTCTGCAATTTACTTATCCTTTGACTAAGGTGCGTGTAGTGATAGTTTGAGAAGGCTATTAGAATAAAATTTATGATTACTTCATAATTTATGATTACTTCATACCTGAAAGACAAAAATATATAAAAATTCTAGTGACAGGAAGCTACAAGAACAGAATCTATTTATTTTTTGCTGTCAAAGCTTTAGACTCAGAACTTTCCTTTTCTCTGCCCATTCATACAGTGCTGAAGTGAGAAAGTAATGATTATTCACAGACATATACGCCTCATTACATAGGCATTTTTCCTAAGCCTCAATTCTAACTGTTTAGGGGGGACTTCATACCTGTTGGGCATCCTCTTGAACTAAATGATTCTTCGTGGAAGTACAAAGTCTGCCTGCAAGAAACATTGCAGGATCAGTGCCTCAATCTACAAACACAAAGCTACTGAATTTAATTTCAAACACAAGCAAGGTACACTACAAGCTTCAGACATCTCTTTTTCTAGCTTTGACAAAAACTCAGTTGTTTTCTCTGCACCTTCTTTATGGCTCAAATATTTCTGAAGAACTAGACCATCTTTCTACGGCTGAACTTCTATAGCTCAACCCATTCCACAATGAGAAGATCACCAAATCACACATTCCATCCAGCGGCCAAATTTAAGCAAGAATCCTTTTCCACAATATGCAAGGGCTGACTGACTCGTCGACTGTGACACCTGACTAAAGCTGTGCAAATAACAGGTTTTGAATTGCTGGACTAAAAATAGTTTTCTATTTTTGTAGCTGAGCTGGAACATTTTGCAGGAAATTATAAGTAAGCAAATAAAATGGGAAACAAAGTTATAGGTGATATAAAACATCAGGCCATTATTAGTTTATATCATTCAAAGAACCATTGTTTTTTTCAGCTAGAAAGTGCTAATGAAAGAACGTTCTTTTGGCGGTTTACATTTACTGAACCGTATTCACTACTAATCTGTCCAAAGCATTCCACTACCCAATGCTTTATCAGCCACAACATAAAAGTTAACAGTTTTTAAAATTTTGAAGTTAGTGGTAAAAGAAGAGCTGAAGAAATTTTCATGCCCCACTTTTCTGACTCACTGTAGAAGTGGTTAGAATTTCTTATATTTTGGAGGTTATAAAAAACAACACAAGTCTGTTTTCTGTTTTTAAACTTCTGATTTACCTCCTTTTTTCAGCTATCATGGCATACTGCTTCCTACTTTGCCGTAATAAAGATCAGCAAGTCAGCCAGGTGATTTTTGATGTAGCATTCTGCGCAGCTATCTAACGAAACTGGGTAGGAATCTTCTCCTCAGCCTCTTACTCCATAATTTCTAGAGATAAGTGTATAACACACTGTACAAAATGCATAGTACAGCCCTCGGATTGCAGTAGCTATGTCAGAAGCAGCTTTTTTTCTTTTTTTAACTCTCCAAATGGAACAAAAGGAAACCTTCTTAGTCAAGAAAACAAACATTGTGATTATTGTGATGAGATTTTGAGGTAGAGAGTATTAAACGATGCTTTTATAACCAGGGAAACTGCTCAGCTGAAGAATACAAACAGCGTAGGAGCAATAGATGGCCCTATTTACTACAGATCCTGCAGTAGATTGCCTTGTGCTTCCTCCTAGGGAGCAGTATGAGGACCCCCTGAGTCTGTAACAAATTAAAAGAATAATGCCATAGGGAACTGCTCTTTATTTCTCTTTCAGACAAGCTCCATTCTGCATTTCCAATGTCAAATCTGATTCTATAAGTATCTCATAGAAGTATGGAAAGAGAAAGATATTTCTGAGTCTTACTGGTATTGTATCTGCATATCTAAAATGAGTTTACTCTCACTTACAGTCAATGAGTCTTGCTTCCTGTGCATCTCTAGCGTGCAGAGCTAACCAGTGATGCTATAAGGCATGAAAGACGCTAATGATCAGATTCTTGTCACTGGGCCATCAGAAATTGTTGCAACTAAGAAATAATACAGAGAAAGAAAAATGCAAGGAATGGTGATGCATGTTCATAAATCAGAAGGAAGAAAACAAAATCTGGAAATAAGTTGCAAGAATGGCCCCCACCCCTCACCCCTGTAGTGCTGCTGCCTTTTAAACTTAATAAAAATGATACAAAAGCAAACTTCTGTGTTCATTTAGTTTCTCCAAAATCCTGATGGATTGGGGAGCTAATATTTTATCCCCCTCTGCTTCCCCCATTAATTGCAAAACGTATACCTTGTTCACCATCTTTCTGCCAAAACCCTTTGCATCAGCTGACTCTTAGGGTTCCCAGAAGAAATACAGGAGATCCAAATCTCCACCAGCAGCTTTTAGGGCTAATGATGTTTGTTGTTGCTGTTTTGTTGGTGTGTTTGGGGGTGGCAGGGAACGGAGCAGAGCTGAGGAGACTATGAGGCTACGACAGTCGGTGCCACCCCAAGGTGTCTCCGGCTGTTGTCCCTCGACAGCAGGGATGGGTGGGCATGCTGTATTAAAGCAATTCAAATGCAGCCTTGTGCACTCCAGAATACCATCACGTTGCTCAGATGTGTGAAAGAGGTGTTGGATAAACAGGTATAAATTACATAACTTGATTTATCTTAAATCATTAAGAAACTAAAGAATGTTTGATCGATATTATCCACTTCTAAGCTAATTTAAACCAATTTAAGAGTCCCTACACAAGTCTCAATTTAGGTCACTTTAGAAATAGATTTGGTTAAATTAGTATGATTATCATGTATAGACCTAACCCTTAATTCCTTATCTTCTTTAGTTTATATATTAAATCATACCATTGCATTGGCAAGATTGTTTTGTTTTTTAAATCAGAGAAATGCCAAATCAATAAATTACGCATTATCTGTTTCACCTCCTAATCTCAACAGTCTGGATAAGAATGAATAACTCAGGAATGAGTAACTCAGAACAGTTTGGTAGTTAATGATGAACTCTATTCCAAGAAATGTCCGGTATGAAAATATATATCCTGACTTGATTTACTGAGGCAGTTGATAAAGTTAATAACTAAGCCATTATAGGGAGTGAAGAAAACTGAAAGAAGTATGTGGTTCTCAGATTTTAGAAGCTTTTGAGGACCTGTGTTTTACACAGGTGAGCAAGATCTACTCTGTACTGCTCCACCGGAGAACAGTAGGTGGGACGTAACTAAAATATCATATGTGCTTCATATCTTGCATTGTACAGAGATATCACCATCTCAGGTGATTTAGGCACTTGTTCCAGACAGCCTCATTCTCCCAAATCAGTCCTGAGTCTGCACTTTCGGTTATACTGTATCCATTATAAAGTAGGTATAAAATACTCACTTTGATTTATCCTATACCAATAAGAAATCAAAGAAAGTTTAATCAATGTTATCCATTTTCAAACTAATTTAAACAAGACTATAAACAGGTTTTGCATAATGCCTGAGATAATTTTCCCTTGAAACTGTTGCAGGCTGACACAGTACAAAAAGATATGCTTAAAATTAAACACAAAGTTAAGTGAGTCTGATCAACAAGCATGACTTCGTAACTGTTTAAAATACTGCAGTTTGCTAGTCAATGGAGGAGGTGCACCATCGTCTCTGATTTAAAAGGAAATAATGCATGATTTTTCTGTTGACATGCAAGTAAACAAAATTAAAGTGGGTTCAATCCTGATCCTACAGGATCACAGGTTAACAGACCAATAATCTTTTAAAGATTTAGTTTAATTTACTATTTTCACTGATCACAGCAGAGTGCTCTTCTGGCAACAATCAAAAATCATGGACCACGAAGATTTACATGCAAACAAATGCATCCAATTACTAACAAAAGATCCTAGAGGTAGCTGTCACAGGACTAT